GTTTGTCTTCCATCGACTTGTTTTTAGCCTGTAAGGCGCTCACACTAGCTTGTAGGTTAGCCACTTCGTCTTCCGCGGAGGAAATACGGTCCTCTGCTCGCAACATACGTTCATTATAGTCTTTCATCTCCTGTTTCATATCTTGCAGTGTCACCAACAGACCGTCGAGTTTCGAGGAGAACTCGCTTTTCAATGATTCGAGCGCGACCAAAATTTGGTCAGACTTACTATTTTCTGAGTCACTAATTTCTTCTGGCTCCGCCATGTTTTTGTTGGCTTTGCGAGCTTCACCGCGGAGGTTGTGGTCGAAAAGCTTCGTTTGCTTGGATGCCTCACTTTTCCCTTTGAGCTGTTTAGTTGAGTTAGGCATTATATCTTTTTCCTGACACAAATTTTTCGTGAGCAGCAGTTATTTTCCCTTAATAAGCGCAGCAGACAGCGGAGCGAAGTTCTGCACGTCTTCCTACGTGGCCGCCATAACCGGAAGTCAACAGCTCAGCTTTAATTATTTTAAGGTGATCAAGGTGTGTAGACAATCACACTTACATAAGTAGCAGCGCAAAAGGTGAGCTGCATAATTGTGGAGCGTTTTGGCTCTGATGGAGAACATCGCCAATAGAAGATTCAGAGGGAGAGATTGTTCAGAGACCATATTGATCTGCTGGGAAATGATGATGGTTTATTATTGTTCAGTCTTTTAATCCAGACTGATCATCCTGAAGCTCTGAACAAAACTTAAAGAAGGAGCCGTGGGATACCGGTGCAACTGGAGCTATCGACAGGTCGAGACAGTCGGTCACTTTCAGTTGAGTCATGCCAGTTTTGTGAATGCGCCTTTATGGACAGAAAGCATCTCCATTCTATACATTTGCAAGTTATACACACAATTCCTCCATTTAATAAAAAGTCCACACCCCCTTCTCACTGCAAAGAAAACTATGGCACTCTGTCTTTCTTTAAATCCCGGCTGAACGCTAAAAAGAGCTGTTCAAACGCTCTGCTGTTTGAATAGCTCTTTTTTTTTGTCTATTTGGAAGTTCCATCCATCCATCCATTTTCTTTACACCCTTATCCCTTAGTGGGGTCGGGAGGGTTGCTGGTGCCTATCATGACAACAGTTGTCATGACAACTTGACATTAACTAAGAAATTATAATGCAATAACAGGGGCATTTATTGGCTAATATCCTTATAAGACAGCTTTAACAAGTCATGAACATTTCCAGTTACCTCAAGGTTCACTTTACTTGAGGTAACTGGAAATGTTCATGACTCTGTCATTAAAGTGATAGATTAATGACACTCAATGACATCTTCATTACTAGTTTACTGTGATACACTTTAACAGAGGAGGATAATGTCAGAATTATAATGGTCTCATGACAGCAAAAGGTATGTATAACAAAAAGTGACTTGTTAATGATGTCTTATAAGGATAACATTTTAAAATGCACCTGTTATTACATTCATGACAAGTTATAATACCTTGCCTTGTCATGTCGTTGTCATGACAATGACGTTGTCTTGGATAATGTCACGAGAAGACTATATGAACACCCTTCTGTCAAATTTTAATCGGATGATTGATTGATGGCCTTAATTAATTGATATTAATTGATATCAAACCCCCCTCCCCCCATGGGAACTATGTGACCTCTTGACCTCCCCCCCCCCATGGGAACTATGTGACCTCTTGACCTCCCTGAAACCCTTCTGTCAAATTTTAATCAGAGTTAGCAGTGAGCAAA